GACTGCAACCGGTCAGAGAGAAAGGAGGAGAACCACCGTAGAACAGTGCCCCCTAACTCTTCCAGCCGGTGCAGCATGATACCATGGTCGATGGTATCAAAAGCCGCTGAGAGATCTAATAGGATCAGGACAGAGGAGCAGCCCCTGTCCCGAACCCTCCAGAGATCATCAACCAATGCGACCAATGCCGTTTCCATGCTGTACCCAGGCCTGAAGCCTGGATCCAGATACGTCGTTTCATCCAGGTACTGGGGGAGCTGTCGCGCAACCACACTCTCAACAACCTTCACCACAAAATGAAGGTTGGAGACCGGACGATAATTAGCCAACACTACTGGGTCCAGGGAAGGCTTCTTGAGGAGAGACCTCACCACCGCCTCTTTCAAGGCGGCGGGGAAGTCACCCTCACCCAACGAAGCATTTATAATCTCCTGGAGCCAGCCTCGCGTCACCTCCCAGGAAGCCAGCACTAACCAGGAGGGGCACGGGTCCAATAAACAAGTGGTCGCATTCAGTCTACCCAGAATCCTGTCCATGTTCTCAGGGGTTACAGGATCAAACTCATCCCAGATAACATTCTCAAGACCTGCCCCAGTCCTCCCCCCTGAGACTACCCAGTCGGAGTCCAAATCTTCCCGGATCTGAGTGATTAGGGGTTTCGGCTTGGGGCAGGCAAGGGTGGATAGGGGTTTTGTCTTGGGGGTACGGGATGTGGTGCATATGGGGGAGGGCGACTAACTTCTTCCTCATCCTCCTGACTGAAAACTTTAGTTTTAACTATCTTTCTGTTGGTCTTATTTTTCTCTTTCATCATACATACTTTCACACATTCTATCTGACATTTCTTAAGCCAAGAGGGGGCTGCCTTTTGAGCAATCTGCCACTGATCTATGTATGCGTATTGGTCTCAATGGCCATCCCGCATGATGATTTGATGTACCTTGGATATCACTATTGGATTCAATGATCCTTCTTCTGGCCACCTTACGCTAAAGGTAGGCCATATATTTATATAAAACATCTTCAAGGTATATGGATCACACAGGGAATCACTCTTAAAGGCACTCTTAAAATTGGCTAACATACATTGTAACGGTTTCCTGGGGACACTATTACGACCACCCATCCTAACACACTACCACTGACCCACGGCGCCTGAAACTCAAAGGTCACCAATGGGAACTGTGGTTTAACCACCCACACAATCCCACACAATCCTAACAGAGAGACTTGAACTCTCAACAGGAGACTTGAACTCCTCACTAGAGACTTTAGGATGACGCCTTGTCTCCTAGGGGGGTGATCAGGCCTCCTTCTCCCCAGTAAATTGGTGGGTACCCCTATTACTTATACTTGCCTGCAGGTATTCTTCCTGGACTTTTGTTGAGGTTTCTGGGTCTGGCTGACCTGTGGATCCTTGATCTGCTTCTCCAGCGGGTTACGACACCTCCTCACCGAAAGGTTCCGTAGACTTCAGAGAGTCCTGGTGGCCGGCCGATGGACTTTCCTTGGGAAGGCGTCGGTCCCCGCTGGGGCAGGCTGTCTTGGCAGAGCAAAGATCTCTGTTCCTTAGTCCCACCAGAGTCGCCACAAATGATATGGAATGATAGGACCAAACAACATTCCTGGGTCAGCCAGAGACAGTTTTTATTGCACAAGGTTCAGAGGCAGATTGGTTCTTGCTATCTGAACAAAGAAAGCGCCCTGGTAGGACTGCTTTTATACATATCCAAGACAAAGGACTTTGCTGGCACAGCAGTTTTCCATATATGGTTAACATACATCCATTATAAGATAATTGACATTTCCTAATTACTAAATTCCTATATTATTTTCTAGTTCATAAGATTATCGTAGCTAAACATCCTTTATTAGTTCTGTGATTGCTGATGCATAGATTTATGTCTTCCTTAGTTTCATATGGATGCCCTTACATCCTTGACAACTAGGCCCCTTCAGAAGATATATATATATTACCCAGGATGTTCTTGACAACTAGGTCCCGTCAGAAGATATATATATTATCCAGGATGTAATTTATCTGACTTAGTGTAATCTTCCAAACAAATATTGTTCTTCCAAACCAGCATATTTCTTTCTTACAATAGAGAGGGTCTTTTGGAGTTCATGGGGCTAAGCACGTTTTTCCCTTATAATAATGTGAATAGAGAGGGTCCTTTAGAATCCATGTAGCTGACTCTGTATGATTCCTATTTTATTTACCTTATTCACATTACACACATCTTAAAGTTGCAGCATGTGAAAAACACGGCCTTAGTGTAGGACTTGTTCTTCAGCCAGGTCTTCTGAATTGTATCAATTATTTTAACTGCTGTTTCTCTCTCATTAACAGGGCTTGTTTCATTTAAATTTGCAATCTTTTTTTCCCCTTGTTTTGCTGCCTTCAGTACTCCAAGTATGAAAAAATAAATTAAGTTGGCTTTTATTAATGGAGTTTTTAACCAACCTGTTAGTTCCCTTAACTATAATTGATAACAGTGGAAGATATACTCCAGCATCTGGAATGGAGGGTAAGTCACACCACAGTCATCATTAAACCATCACAGAAATTCTAATTCTATTTGTGCACTGAGATCATAACAATCTTTTCTTTCCCTTTCCCCATACATATATACATGCATATATACATAGGGCATGTGAAATGTTCTTTGCTTCAGGAAGGCACTCAAGACACAGCCTATTTCATGCTGTGACCATAATGTCCCAGACATTTATGAGATGATTTGTGTCACAGATCTTTCAGTTCAAAGCACTACTGTATGCAGGAGTGAAATCCAACAGGTTCTGACGGGTTCTGGAGAACCAGTAGTGGAAACTTTGAGCAGTTCGGAGAACTGACAAATACTACCTCTGGCTGGTCTCACAGTGGGGTGGGAATGGAGATTTTGCAATATCCTTCCCCCAGGAGTGGGGAGGGAATGGGGATTTTGCAGTATCCTTCCCCTGCCACGCCCATCAAGCCACGTCCACAGAACAGGTATTTTAAAAAATTGGATTTCACCACTGATTGTATGGCTGATGTGCTTTACTAGCCATCATAGAGTTATTTTGGTGCACTGTTAATGTGCTGGCTAAAAAAATAGGAAACAGAGATTTTGGCCTGTCTTAGTCATGGATGCTTGCTGTGTATATTAGGGCCAGTCACTCTGAGCCCAAATCACCTCACAAAGTTGTTATTGTGGGGAAAACCGAAGGTGCAGTAGTATAAAGTATGTTCACTATCTTGAAATGATCAAATATAAAGATGGGCTAAAACTCTAATCACCAACATCTTGCTTTAACCAAAATGAAATACAGCAGCAACTCCATTCCACTGCTTAAAATCAAGGAGATATTCCTCTTTGTTGAAGTGCTTCAGTCAGACTTTTGTAGAAATAAGAACTCTTTTTGGCACGCAGCACATTCCTGATATTTATTTAGTACAGCAATGCAAAACATTTGCACCTTATTAAAGCATCTTTGGGAGAATGAAGCACCTCCCTTTGGAACATTAAAGCAGCCTGATTTTTTGGAAGCCCTCTTGGATGCTTCAGGATGGGTCCCTGGTTTCCTCTGTGGATATGTAAGTACACTATCACTTTCCTTTGCTGAGGTGCCAGTTGGTAGTACTACTGGTAGTAGGCAAAGAGCAGGGGTGAAATCCAGCAGGTTCTGACAGGTTCTGGAGAACCACTAACGGAAATTTTGAGTAGTTCAGAGAACCAGCAAATATCACCTCTGGCTGGCCCCAGAGTGGGTTGGGAATGGAGATTTTGCAATATCCTTTCCCCAGGAGTGGGGAGGGAATGGGGATTTTGCAGTATCTTCCCCTGCCACGCCCCCCAAGCCACACTCACCAAGCCACGCCCACAGAACCGGTAGTAAAAAAATTTGGATTCCACCATTGGCAAAGAGGGACAGCTTTCATGGTAGTTCAAAACAAAATAAAAAGTATGCTTTGAACTGGAAAGCTTAATGTAGATAAGTTCAACCATTTGTAGTTCTCAAAAGTGCAGGAGAAAAGCTTTATGTAACAGTTGAAAGGATATTGTCATGAGCTATTAGGTGAAAATGTTCTTGTGAATCCAAATGTTCTTGTGAATCCAATCGTTTTTTATGTATTCAGTGAATTGTACTTCACCTGTGTCCCTCTATTAGTTTGACTCAGATTACATATTTCTTCTAGAACAATGTAATGTACATGTTTCTGACATGTGATTCTGAAAATTTGACTCAGAGAAAGTTTTTTATATTCCAATCAAATTACCAAACCACCATTTTAAGCACTAAATTTATACAGTCTGGGTATTCATGCCTTTACAATAAGATTCATTAATCAGTAAAAGAAATTAATTCCCAATAGCATCACTTTAGTCTGTGTATGGGGTGGATAGGTGATGAAGTTTTTGGATGAAATTGAAAATTGTAGGGAAATGATAGGATTTTCAATATTTGATCTCATCCTTGAAAGTAAGTTATGTATGTGAATTCTAAAGCAATGGAAAATGGTAGCTGAATTTTGCAACGTTCTGAAGGTAGGCTGTGATTGGAGAACAGCGTTTTGTGAAAAAAGCCACATCAAATGAAATGCATTGACTGGGTCCCCTTTACTGGCACACGGGGGGAAAATCTCTTCAAATTGCATAAGCAGAGATATTAAGTCGTGGGCACCGCATCTATGTGACAGAGCCGCTGTTAAACTGAGAATCTCGTGCTGGTCCAAATCTTTGTATAACAGCTGTGTGCGCTTGGGGTGGGGGAAAGACAGACAGAGAGAGAGAGAGAGAGAGAGAGAGAGAGAGAGGTAAAATTAGGGAATAACAACGATCCCTCGAATCCCCTTCAGAATCCGGGAGGATCCGGCTTTTCCCTTTTTCCTCGGGGGTGGGGGGGTGGGGGGGTGAGAGGCAGTTTGACTGACAGTCAGAAATCTGATCCTGTTAAAGACGCGGTTAGCCAATAGGCTACGGAGATCCCTCGGTTTAGACTAGAGGCCCCTGGAGGAGAAGTAGAGGAAAAGCCACTGAATGTAGCGTCCTGTCAGTGGCGCTTTTCGCTTGAAAGGAGAAGCGCTGGGAGAAATAATTAATGTTCTTATTACATTTGTAGAGACTTTTTGTTTTGGTGCGCGTGTGTGCGCGCGCGCATCCGATCGTCTTTGCTGTACTTTCAGGTGGGTTTTTAACAGCAACTTTGTTGTCTGTTGTTACGGCGATTACATGGTTGTGGTTTGCAAGAAGGTAGCTCTCTCTCTCTCTCTTTCTCTCTCTCTCTCTCTCTCTCTCTCCCGTTAGGTGTAATGCGAGTTGTGTCGTGCGCCATTACTAGTTCTGCACACGTTTACAAATGGGATCGCTCCAGGGACTAAAGCGGGCATGCCAGCTTGGCTCACGATTTGATTTCTTGGTTTTTTTCGAAGTCCTTTCCATCCTCTTGCTATCCTCTCCGGCTCTTGCTTGTAACCCAGAGGAAGGCAGCTTAGAAGGAGGGATGCGTGTGTTTTTATGAATGGCACTCTTGGAGGATCATTAGATATGCAAATTCAGGCAGTTCATTCATGACTTAAAAAAAAAAAATCTAAAAGCCATATTGTGTTCTCGGTTTTTTTCAAGGCTCTTTGAAGGCTGCATCTGGAGGAACTCTCTTTTAAACCCAATGTCCAGAAAATAATAAAAATACTGCGCTAAAGTCATCAGAATGGATGGATTTTATGACCAGCAAGTGCCTTACATGGTCACCAATGTGAGTGATCAGCTCCTAAATTGTTGGGTCTCTTGGTGGGAGGGTGCAATTTGCAGTTAAAAGGGGAGAGGGCAAAAGCTTTTATGGGGGAAAATTGTTCTGGGTTTCTTTGTTGTTTTATTTTTGGATGGAAGTGAAGGGAGGAAAATTTATGCTTTGTAATGAGATGTACATTTAATTCAATAAATTTCCTATTTTTTCCACATACCATTTCGGTTTGAGGAAAAACAAAAGCACTTTTACCCCTCATTATTATAAGAAGAAAGAAATCATAATTGTTGCAGTTTTAGAAGTTTTTAAGTCTTCTTTGTTATCTTAAATAGAAGTTCCCTAAAGGGAAAAAAAAAGTTTTTTTTTCCTTTCAAAGGACTTTGACAAATAAAGAGTTAAAAATTAAAGTATAATGTCATTCTCCCAACCAGCATCAATCAAAAGTTGGCTTTTAAAGAAATACTCTTGGTAGATATTAGAACTTTAAGTTGCCAAAATTAATACTTAACACCTACATTCCTGCTTTTCTATATAGGTGTCTATGGACATGTGTTTTCAGTAGATTGAACCTAAATATTCCTTGGCTTAATTCTAGTAATTCTAGTTTGAAATTAGTGATAAAATCAATAGGGAAGTTTTAAGCTTTCTCCATAGCCTTAACATTTAAAACCTATTGCTAATATTGCTTGATATCTAACTTCTTCCCCTTTTTCCTTTTAAAATAACCATTCTATTCTATTTGTAGAATCTCTGTGGGAGAAATTGTAATGAGCGACCAGCAAATGTCAGGAAAAGAAAATTCATTAACAGAGATCTGGCTCATGACTCAGAAGGTGAGGATATGTGTTACGCAAGAAGGGGGGAGAATAAATGTTACTGGCTCCCCCTTTTACAACTACATACCCTGTAATATGCTTTTTAAATGTTGATGTCTGCGCATTTCTCTCCTTTTCTCTCCTTTTCCTCCCTCATGCATCTTCCTGGAGTTTTGTCTACATCTATTTATAGAAATGAGACAAGAAAACCACATCTCATGATGTGACACAAGCTGACAAAAGCAATTCACCACTAGGCTGATGTACCTTCAGTGACTCACCCTCTGTGTTAGGTATTGCCACATGGTAGGGATGTAAGTAAGCCCATATACCTGGAGGTGAAAATTTGGCAAGAATTGATAGGTAGTAAAAGGGTGCACACAAATTGCTCACCTGTAGGCCTCTGCACACTCCCCATTATCATTTCCTTTGTGAGTGCCTACCGTGGTGTTTCAGAGATATGCTAAAGTTTTGCTTTAACCATTATAGACGAAATAGGACAAGATTCAGAGTTCTATCTGCCTACTTTTTCCATCTCTACTCTTTGGTTTGTAACTCCTATAGTAACCAACTATGAACCATTCAGAAGAAAATGGTTCATTACACTTTTTAAGATCATACCCTGTGAATCTAACACTTGGTAAATTTGTTGAAAGGCTGTTTTGAAGAGAAAAACAATTGTTTCTGCAAAGTGCCGCCTTGATAGCTTGTTGCTTGAAAGAAGCAACTCATGGCTTACTGGAGGCAAAATAGTCCTCACTTGCTTCTCTTAAACTCTAAGAAAAGCACCAATGTCCTTTCTTGGGCTGGTTTCACACTAGAGAAATTCACTCTGTCCACCTCCATTATAAGACTTCTCTATCCAACTTGGATTGGTAGTTTTGTAAAGACTTCCTAGAGGATGATCTGCAATAATCTTGAAAGCCCTTACACACTTCTAAAAATGCTTTATAAAAAGTCATCTGCTAATGTGGACATAATGATTAATACCAACAAAACAAAACCTTCATGAATTCATGCATTTGTCCTGCAGAGAACTGATTTGACTAAATTACCAATTTAGGTTTCCATTTTGGTTATATTTGGCATTTATTAACTAGCAAATTCCTCCTCCCCAAAGTAATATAAGTAAAAATCTTACTTTGCAATGGCAACTTGTCTGGATTTTATTTCTATCATTTTATAATATTATATACCAAACAAAGAGCAAAACAGCATTTCATTATTGAGTACTCCTTTAAAAAATGTTAAGTTATAGCCTGATGTAGTTATTTTGGAATAAGCCCCACTGAAATCAATAGAATTGTCTTTGAGTGGGTATGCATAAAGAAGTTTAAGGAATTTCTCTTTAAGTAATCTTGGTCATTCAGAAATCAGATCAATTGATTTTTATGGGTTCTCTCAATAAAATCTGTTGATACATGTAAATTATTATTACTGGAGTTGATTGGGATACTTTACCACATATATTTTATACAGAAACTAATATTTGCATCTACACAACATTAGACAAAATACAATAAATTACAAATATCTTTGCTTAATTTAGTATTTGAACATTACAGAGCTGCTGACTTTTTTTAAAAAATCTTTTATTCTTTTCTTAGAACTGTTTCAAGATCTAAGCCAATTACAGGAAACATGGCTTGCAGAAGGTAAGGAGGGAAAAATGTTTTCTACCCAAAATAAAAAAAGAAAGGAAAGGGGGAAAAAAGCACTCTGGAAGAAAAAGGGAGGGGGAAAAGGAGGGGGGGAAAAAGTCCTGAACTTGCTGTCTTAATGTTCAGCCCAATTAATTGAGCTCTAAAAGAGCCACCTCATGTGTCATGCATACATTAGAGCCTCTGATGAGTTTGTCTTTGGGGACTCTGGGGCTGCTCTATCCAATGTCATCACAAATTACCAGGAGAAATTGCTTCCAGCCCACAATCACATCTGCTTTTGGCAAGAACTAATGCACCAAGACTTCACGTTCCAAGCCTCTGTTCAGATTTTAATTGCAATTGATCAGGTTTATATTATTGTACCTCAGGAGACTGCCTACAGCCAGAACTGGGCTTGCTCTTTCCTTCAGAGCAGAGCATACAATTGTTTAGTGTTCTGGAGGAAGTACTTTTCTGATGGCAGAATATAGTTTCTCTGAGTTCATCAGGACGGGATGCTTCAAGATTTAAGTGAAAGTGTCTTCTTCCCTGCTTGCTCGCAACACCGAACGTTAGGTGTGTATTGGCTATTTAAGAAACGATGGATTTCTGTTACCATTATTTCAAATTTATAGATATTTATATTTTGCAAGATATTTAAAAGGAGAAACTTTATTTTTTCCCCTTTTCCTTCTTTTTGCACCCCCCTTGTGTTTCCTTAACTCTGAGATAGTTTATTTTAACACAGTTGACAGATTATAAGGAAATAGTTTTAATGCTGGAGTTAAATTACTGTTGATTTTGACTTGAGTAGGATGAGATGCCGAGAGAAGTTTTGCAAAAGCATAGGAAGTTGATCCTAACTGATGTATATTTTCTAACTAAAAAGTTGATGCTCCTGACATGTTTGGGCTTTTTCCAGCATGAAGATAACTCGATTCAAATTCTTTTCTCTTTAATATATATATATATAAATATATATAAATATATATAAATATATATATAAATATATATATATATATATATATATATATAATCAAGAAACAAAATTTAATTAAACCTCATTCAGAATTAGGTGATATGTCTCTTTCTATGTGTGCTCTTGCTTGTTTATGCATTTTTAGTATTCATTGGGGTTTTATTTTTTTTAACTCTTACTGAATGTGCATTGTTTGTTGAATGAACATTCTATTCCTATTGAAAAGGAAAGGGATAATTTGATGCAGTTGCTTAACAGAGAAAAGAGAAGTATTGTAATGGTACATACAGATTGCCTACCTTTTTGACAACAGCTTATATAATTTGCTAAATAATATGTAATTTTCATTAATTTATCTTTTTTTGCCATGCTTTTATGTACAGTATCTAGCAAGGAAATATTAAATATGATGTAATAGGTGGTAAATCTCCATATTAATATTGAAGGTCTTAGCTAAAATTCAAGAATAGCTGTGAAAAGTAACTCTAGTAAAGATCTATACATATGCTGAACTTTCAGCTCATCCTGATAACTTAGAAGACCATCAAAGCACTAAGCATTCAGTTTTGTTCATTTCATTCAGTGAGTTTTAGTTTTAATATATGTTTTAATTTGATAAATTTTGATTAAATGCAGGTTTTTTAAATGTGCAATCAGATAATTGTTTAAAATGTTTCTGAAAAGGAAGAATGAACAAAAATGGATTTTATATCATTTGCTAATCATGATTCTGATTAAACAAAAGGAACAAGCAAAAAGAAATAAAAAATTTGGGTTATAATCCTGTACTCAGTTAGAAATAAGTTTCACTGAAAGCAATAGGACACTCTTCTGAGTTAGCATGCAGAAACTGCTTTGTGCTATTACGAATTAAACATGAAAAATTAAATTCTTACCTTAGAGACTTATGCTGTTTAAAGCATTCTACCAATATATTTAAGTAATGTGTCCAGTGACCAACAGTGTAGTTTAGGACTTGGTTGAATCAAATGCTAAACATGAAAACTAATTGAATTCATATGAAATGTAATAGTTGAAGAAAAGTTTTTGTAACTAAGACTAAAAATCACAATTATGACTTAATAATTATTTTTTGCATTTTCCAAGAAGGGGAAAAAAAACAACCCATTGAGATGCTTTGTAGATAGTAAGTAAGTAATCCACACAAGATTAATTAAAAACTGGTCTTGAAGTCAATCTAGTTTGCTTAACCCTTGATTAAATTTTCTCCATTTATGTTCACATGGTTGCTGATAAAGTTACAGCTCTGTGAAATAGTTATCTCTCATAATGCTTTGTAACCAGGAATGTCACTTTAATTTTTTTAATTCTGCCACTCCTTTTTTTATATGTAGTACAGTAGCATCTGATTGAATCATTATGGATTATCACTTTTTAGTTATCGGAGGATCTGTCCTCTTTCCCCCTTCCACCCCCATTTTAGAGAAATAGTTTTTAGATAGGAAAGAATGAGAGCACGAAAAAGAGAAAAAATGATAGTTGAGTTATTTCAACTGCATATTTTATCAGTATCCCTATTCTTTTGGGGAAGATGTTGCTTAAAATGAGTAATCATAAACAGTTTATTCTCTTTTCACAAAAATGGCATTGGAAACAATAGCATTTACATATGTATTGAAGGTAGAAAAATAATTCAGTGGTGAATAGAATCAGATTTGGTTGCTGTAATGTAGTGTGCTGTAATTTGGTTGCTGTGATGTGTGTGCCAAATCTAGGGTGTCAGATTCAAAAATGGTTTGCATCCAGTGGCACAAGAACCTGGCAGAACGCTTGACCAAACTTTCTTTCTTGTTCTCTGTGTGAGATACAGACTTTCCTTCAGTGGAAATCTTCTGCTGCTACTGTATTGAGGCTTAAAACAAAATAAACCATTGGGATTTGAGCATATGGGGGGGGGGGGGAAATGAAGGGCTGTTAATAATTTTCTAAATTAGTAAAGCATTACTATCATCTGCTAACAACCCCGGGTTGTTCAGGTGCCAGTACTTCCTTTGTGCAAACATAGAAAAGTTTATTCAAAATCTTTGGGACTTTTAACTAAACCTGTTAATTCTCATGCATGCAGTGTCATAGTGATGCCATTTTGGCCCAACAGATGATGGAACTCCTCTATTGAATTTGTAGATATTGCATTAAATTGCTCTTGACAAATACAAGTTAACAACTGACTTCAAATAATCAGCTCAAATATGAACTTAATGTATTTTTCATTATCGGAAGCTCCCGCTGTTTATTCTGTAACAAAAAAGGGAACGAAAAGACTGATGGTGCTGAAAGCCTGCTGTGTTATGATGGAAACAGTTTGTGGTTTGAAAGAAAAATAAGCTGAAAAAGAAGAATGTTTTAAATTTGTATTCAAAACATTAAAAATGATGGATAAAGTGTAATGTAAATGTTACAGGAAGTAAAACTCTGTTATATTAGTATTGATTTAACAAAATGTCATCTAGAAAGAATAATCTGTTAGTGAAAGGACAGGTAATATATATATATTTTTAAAGTCCCTTTCTCCTTTGGGTGGTACCAGAGATTCAGATAAAGAAATGATTTCCTGAAAATATACTGGTGCCAGTGAAAATAATGGCCACGTATGGTAAATGAACTTTGTGAAAATTTCATGTTCTTGGCACAGTTTACCTCTTGTTTCTATTCTGGCTTTATTTTATTTTATTTTATTTTTCCCTTTCAAATGAAATTGAATTCCTCCTTTTTATTTTGATCAAGAGAGAAAATTATATTGAAGTGCCATAAATCAGGATGTTAGTTTGTTATCATCTTCACAATCAAGAGAGTTATAAGAACCTTTCGTGTTTTATATAGTGTTTAAATATGCCCTTAAAAAAAAGAACTGAAGTATAAATTTTACAGTAGAAAGAATTAATGAGAAATGCAAAATTTGTATAGTAAAAGTTCCCGAGATATTTGGGGAAACAAAGTTATAGGGTTATCCCTAACACATAATAACTTGAAGGCATCTTAAAATGAAACCTTCTAAAAGAGTGAGGATGGAAGATTTGTATATGTCCATAAAGATACCAAAGATATAAAGTTAGACTTTTGGAAGACATATTTATGATGTCTTTACATGCACATAGATCCTAAGAGCTTTTTCTGCTCATTATAAAATAGTGTTAACAACTTTGTATAATCAAAGAAATAATAATCTGTCTCATAGGTCTTGGATGTCTACTTTCTAGGGCTGCAATGTTAAGATCAGGCTGTATTGACAAAACTGTTTTGGATTTGAGATTTTATTAGTCACTTTTGCATCTTAAAAGCTCTTAAAAAGTATTTGGACAGAAAGTGTACAATTTTGGAAACAGTGTGCTTTTTAATATCTTAAAAGGCAAAGTGTCATATCCTTATTATATGATTCACTTTAGAAAATTAATTGGAAGGAGCACCATTCCTTTAATATAATTATATTTTAACTGGTAAATAATTTTATGTGTATAGAAGAGTGAGACATGTACTTGTTCTTAATTTCTGTAGCTCTTTTTTTTCTTTTCAAAGCAGAATTCCTTGATGTTCAAAATCTTTGGCAACTTGGCTTATGGATTGCCAGAGTATCAAGAAGGAATGCTACCGGAAATGTTGTCACAGTCTGTGTAGAATTGATTAAAAAGAAAAGGAGTAAAAATAGTGCTTTGGCTAATCTGCCTTGTGCATTTTCCCTTTCTCACTCTGTTTCCTGTGCATCTCCTGTGGAGCCTTTAACTTTTTTCCATTCTGAGACCATCTTATTTTTTTATTTTTTTTGACATCTCATTTATTGTATTTGTTTCCCTGATAGGGCCTGTGTAGTGTCCTGAAACAAAGCAATGAAATTGATGTGTTTATATAAAAAGTTCAAGTTTATTCTTCTGTCTCTCTTTCATTCTCTCTCCTTTTCTACTGGGGGTGTGACAGGAAAAGATTGCGGTTGAGGCCACATGTTTCTTGCTGGATTCTGTTTTTGTGAATGAAGGCAGAACTCCAATTCTGACTGCTTCTCTTGAATAATTGTTTAAGAGATCAGCTGTCTCATTCACTGGCAGAGAGAATGACTCATACATCTTCTGCCTTGTTTGGCTGCAGGTCATTGTTACAGTGGATAGAGCTGGTTTTAATTAAATATCAACTCAACTTCTTTGCTGTCTACTTTTCTGTCTTTTTTTGCTTCCCCCCCCTCATATACTTTTAGGGAGAGAGTGTGATTACTTTTGAAAAAAACTAAATTGACCTTCAGTTTGTTCTATTCTGCTGTTGCTTAACTTAATCACAAAATCTTAAAGATGTCACCTTTTCTTCTTAATATTAAAGAAAAAAAAATGGGCTGAGGCATTTAGGGGCATATTGAAAATGTCAATATCTTATTAGAGAGTGATCCTGTGTATCTCTGGGTCAGTGCCGTTATATCAAAAGAGCATATTTCTGAGTAAATCCAAGCATTTTTTTGTTATTTAAAAGTAAATAAGTGTTATTTGGAACTAAAATCTCCCCGTAGACTTTTTAACCAACACTTCATTACCTTTACTTTCACCCTGGGAAGATTTGAGAAGTTGACAAGGAGAAGAAGGAAGCAAAAGCAAAGAACAGAAATTACTCTCTCCAAAGTGAGACAATTAACGGCACCTTGTGTATTAATGCAGAAGAAACCTGATAAAGCTGTTCTCATTATTATATAGTCCCCTGTTTTTACCCCTTAAAGCGCTTCTTCTATTTACCATTTTTCCTAGTCTTAAGTATTCCATTAGAATGTTACTACAAAAGGGCTCTTTGTAGATATTTAAATATTCTGTCCCCCAAAGAATCCAAATTCAACAGTCATTTATATTGATATATCCGCCTCCTGCTCTGTCACCATATTAAAAACTACTATTCCTTTTATGAAAGATTCACTGAATTGCAGCAGTGACAAGAAAAACGAAATGATTGGTATCTAAAACTACCTGCAGCCACCACACTTTTGTTTGCAGGATTTAAGGTATATTTAAATCACCCAAACAAGAGTTACCAGTAGTTTGTTTGGGGGATTTAAGGTATAGTTATACTTAATTGACTACCTGCTGGTCTAACTTTAGTGTGGAAACCTAAATTTCTTTGCAGGGTGGTATCATGAGGCACCTGACATGTTTACCATTAATCAACTACTGCTCTTGATTTTATTTGAAGAATAGAGAAATCATGATGGGCTATACTATCTAAATGAAGCTTATTGGGTTTTGTATCTTGAATGTTTAATAGTTATATTTCTTCTATTTTTGTGTGTGTTTCTAATACTAAAGGCTATTTTATTTCTACTTAATTGTAGCCATTGAGTGCTTGTTCAGGATAGATTGTTTACTTCAGAAAAAACCAAATATGTCAATTTAAAACTGGACAAGATTTCATAAATTGCTATATACAAGACTTAAGATGTAATCATACATTTAAAATATGCTATAACTTTTGTCTTATTTTATAAAACAGCATATACTAGTTTTCTTCTTTACTGGTAAATTTATGTGGAAACCAATTATAGCTGTCACTATTATGAACAACAAGGAACATACAGCTGTTAAACAGGTGGTGTGTTAATGTAGTGTTTGTATCTTGGAAGCGAAAGTTTAAACTTTGTCTTTTCTTATTTATAAGAACTACAATAAGTATGTCATTGGTCAATTTGGAAATATGGTACTAGCTCAAGTTATAAAAAATGCAGAAAAATTGGAATTGTTTTTGCTGAAGGGTGTGCTTTAAAACTTCTTTACCCATTTATGTGGCTCATAATTTTGTTTCGCTTTGTATTTTAAAATGTGTTTATTTCAGCACAGTGAGATTGAAGTTATAGTTGCTGTTCTAAAAGTTAGATTTAATCATTCAGAATAATTTTCTATAACTGTATAAACATGTTTACGCATTTCAGCAACTAGTCTAGGAACTTTATTTTGCGTTGCTAAAAATGCAGGACAGAAAAAAAAATCCTTTATTTTTGATCTGAATGCAACAACTTGTAGAATGGTGCTGGTAAGTTTTCATTTTCTTTTTTTGGCTTATGAATCAGTGAGAACGGGAGTTAAATGTTGCAGCTTAATATAAAAAATCTAGCTTTTAATGTGATAAAGTCATACAAAATCTAAGCCAAAGAGCCAGAAAGAGATGCTGAGTTCCTGAAAGACAAATTCCTTAGAGGATATTAAGAGCATTGAGATTTATTATAGTAAAGGAATAATGGTTAATTGTAACTGCTATTCCAGTAGATTTTAAAAGGAGAAATGTGAATTATAAAGGACAGCCTTCTGTGTGAATAATGGAGAATAAATAAGAGAAATCTGCAGTGTATCTTTAGCTTATCATCTGTTCATATTGCAGTTCCATTGGTTCTTATAAACTGCTAGTGCAGAGTATGGAAATCATCTTTTCAAATTAGGGGTAATTGTTACTCTAGGATAATTTTTTGCACCATGAAAAGAGCAAACATTAACAGTTCTCCTCTCTGTGTGTGGAAATAGAATAATTCACAGTGGTTGCATAGTTGATGTTGCCTATATGTCAATACATTTTGAGTTGAATACTATTAATGATGTCCAATTAACAGAATTATGAGTAAGCATTTGTGGTTCTGATGCGATCTGAAAATTTGGGCCTAAATCCAAGCAACAATACCAACACTGTTTATTAGCCAAGATCCTTTAGGCAAATCTTGTTTCCAAACAACATTTTGTTCTACAAGACAGATTGATCCTGGAAGTAAAGGGAGGCTTTAGGTTGTAGAAAGTTCAAATAAAATCAGTTTAGCCCTAGTTCTTCACTTAAATTAAAGCTCTTTGAATCACAACTTCAGAAATACTTCAGTCACTTTCTTTCAGGTTTTTGCCTTATGTGGGTAATTTTACATTAACTTAAAATCTATAGTGATTTTAAATTAGATAGCATGCTTAAAACAGTACTTGATTCAGCATTTAATGCTACTATTGTCCAGTAAGCTTTAAATGGGGAAAAGAAATAGGAAACTATCAAAGAACAAATAGTATATAGTAGTGTAGTTAATATTTTGTTTTAAAAAAATTATCCGCTAATATGTACTAGTACATGCTGTTAGTTTATAGCTAGTTAGTTTATAAACTTACTTGCTATAAGCTAACGTATAGATGTATGCATAAATTTTATTCAGATGTTCATTCAGGTAACAAATCCATATCAGTGAAAATATTTGGTTGATTACTAGCTCTTGAAGTGAATTCTAGCTGAATTCATAAAATTAAAAAGATTGATTTCTAGAGAAGGATCTCTACAGTGGATTGTCTTGCTATGTCTAGGATCATTAGCTAGAAGTAAGTTTCCCAGGGCTTAATATGACTTAATTCTAGTCAAGCATGCACAAAGATAAGCTTTTAATTATATACAAGAATTTGGGGACTTATTATATGAATATATTATGTAATTATATTCTGCCTTTTGGATGATATTTTACTATATAAATTAATGAGTGATGACTCCTTCTATCAAGAAGCCTTTATAATCCTGTTCCAGATTGTAAATGTTTAACAACAAAACTCTCTTAAAGGTGTGGAAACATATTTCCAAGTGTGCTTTTTTTTTTTTTTAAAGAGAATTACATTGGAGTGAGGAACACGAAATGTTTTATATCACTGATTTAGATGTGTTCTAGAATTTCATAAAATTGAAGGGGAAATGTATCTTTTGTCTATTCTATTTTCCCCCTTGCTATTTTTCCTCTTAAATATTATAGGAGTACAAAGGTAGAAGCCTCAAAAGCTTCAATGGGACACAGCCTGCATTCTATTTGACCTCTTGGTTGCTTTCCTTAATGATATTAGCTTAATTTATTGCTACATAAATGCAATTCTACCTCCTAAATGCTGGCAAGATAAAACCATAAATCTAAGGTGGGTTAACTGTTCTCTACCTAGTTTTAGCATGAAGGTATTTAGTGACTAATACATCACCTTACTTATTGAAGTAAATGCTTGGCTCTTGTGAAGTATGCCCAATATATGGGATGTTTGTGTTCAGTGCTGATTAATGCAACCTCAAGTGCAGAATTTCCCAGTGCATCTTCATTTGCAGTTGATTCCCATAATCATTTAATTTTTTGTTTTATGTAAAGTGCATTCTCTTCTTGATTTGGCTAGTCCTAAGAGTTAGAACTAGCTCTTTTCCATTTAGTAGCTTCTTTTTCTAATTATTGTTTCTAATAAATTATTTCTTTTCATTTTCTCCCTTACCTTATCTTCAGCTCAGGTACCTGACAATGATGAGCAGTTTGTACCAGACTACCAGGCGGAGAGTTGTAAGTATAGCACTTTCTAATCCTTCCTCCTTTTTAAAAAATAAAATATTTTTAGCATGTATATTTCCCCTTCTTTTAACTAGTAGTTAGGTAGAGCAGAAGACTGTCAGTCCATGACCCCAATGTAAAAATAATGTAAAGAGAATCCTCCCTGAATTACAACAACAAATAGATTGATTGAAAAGCCAATGTCCATCTGTTTTTCCTCTTCCTCTTTTTCCCATTTATTTAATTTGGTAAATATTTTCATTGTGATAAAGAGTCGGTTTCCAGAATGGGGAAATATATGAATTCTTCTAGAATAATGATGATGATGATGATGATAGAAAATAAATAATAATGATAGTGTTTAACTGGAAATGGCATTCTATATAGATAATCTAGTGGTGTGCAATCAGAGAAGCTTCAAAAATAGTTATCCAGTGCAGTTTTTAAGAGGACATGGGAAATAATAAATAGTAAAAATATTAATTGTCATTTATAGTTTATGTAAATGGCATGGCATGCTTTTGTCAGTGATTCAGAATGTAGTTCCTAATATATTCTGAGAATTTGTGTAGTCTCTGACCCAAATTTACAGCCAGCTTGTATTCTTAAAGACAGCTTCCACCATCAATGTTTTTTTTTTTGTTTTAATTGGCAAAAAAATAAATAAATGAAAAAAGGGAGTAGGATGTACACAAGGCAACTTTGAGGCAAAGCAAAATTGGGGGATATAGGAGTCAAGCAATCTGTTATCTAACAATTGAATTTTTAAGATTGCTTGGTGTTAGCAGAATAGCCTAATGATAGGGTGTGCAGTAATAATTGGCTTTTTACATAGGATTTCATTTCGGTTATTGTGCTACAAATACAAATACTAAATTTAGTGCTAGTCCAACATTTTTTCTCCACTTTTATAACTGTTCTCGTTTTTATGAAAGGAAATAGCTTTTGATTCTCTCCTACAAAGCAAAGAAGAAGAAGTTAGGAGTTAAATTCTCAGGTTGAGTATGGCATTCATGTATTTTACTTTACAGAGTGGCCAAAGATTTGTGTGAATGTCTTTCATTATCTATCCTGCTCTTCAGCAATCTGTAGCTTTCCTACATTTCAATTAAAACTTAAAGGCAAAACATAAAGTGGAGCTCCTCCCATGGGGCTTTTTTAGAGCAGGAAAGAGAGGAGCCAAGAAAGTTGTCACTTCTCAGTAGTAAAGTAAACTCAGAAACACTACCAAACTAATTTTAAGTCACACTAAGCCAGAAATAGAAAGCGGAAGATGGATTTATGGCAAATATTAGCTAAAAAACAGAATAGTATGTGGCTGTAAAAAGCACTCCTTAAAATGTGCTACGATTTGTGGTAAGATTCATGTCGGGTTTATTTCAAAGAACACCTTAATGGAAGGGTTTTATGATTGACTAATATCTCTTCATTTGATCCACCTCATTGTTTGCCAATAGCTGATTATTTGCAAGAACCTCCAGTGATGAATTTAAGGGAACAAAGCAAAGGGCAAAGATCTTATGTAATAATGTGTGTTCATCATGTACATAAATTGGATATATGAATTCGCTTATCACTCACTTATTGCTTTTCAGGACATTTATGCATTTATTCAGCAATTTGTAATTATTTTTTCCCATTGTTCCATGTTCTTGCCAACCTCAGAACAGGGAAAATCTTATGTCAATTAATAGATCCTCTTTAATGCACCATGGCTGTTCTTGTATTCTTAAAAAATATGGGTAGTTGCCTATTCAGGTCTTCCCATACAAGTTTATTTGTTCTTATTTTTCTATTCCTGGAGCTCATGGTTATTAAACTTGTTTCTTGGACTTTTGATCCAGTTATACTGTAGATATGCTTGTGAGTTTGGTGTAAATCATCAACACTGGAAACACTATATTGTTGATTAATGCACTTGAACGGCACACTATACCTTTGAAAAATATCTACAGTTTACTTTTTTTATCCTGCTGTTATTATTTTTATAAATATCTCAAGGCGGCAAACTATACTTCTTCCTCCTCCTATTTTCCCCACAACAACCCTGTGAGGTGGGTTGGGCTGAAAGAGAGGGAGTGGCCCAAGATCACTCAGCTGGTTTTCATGCCTGAGGTGGGACTAGAACTCTCACCAGCCTGGTTTCTAGCCCGATAGTTGAAACCACTAGACCAAACTGGCTAGGGAAAGGAAGAATCAGCATGGCGGAGAGCATAATCTCTTGGAGATCTGGTAAGATCATTTTCTTCAGTCAGATATTAAGTGGTAGTACTAATAATGTTATCTGATTTTAAAATTCATTTTTTTAAAAATTTCAAATTGTTATCTGCCATGATTATCCTATGGGAAGAAAAGCAAGGCACAATCCATTGTCATCAGCATCACAATGAATATATCATTCATTATTCTTTGCTTCAGTTCAAAAAGACATCCCCATAATTTCAGACAGTCCTTTAGAGTTATTATAACATGGTATTTTTTCCAGATCTTCTGTATGTTCTTCACACTGTAATTTTAATTCCTTTCTTTTAATATTCTTCATTGGTTACATATTGAAAAAAAATCCATAATTATGGCATAGTATATTCTCCTGCAATTGATGTGAAAACTTCAATTAATTGCTATGGTTTCCTTCTCAAAATCAAATTCCTTGACAAACATTTCCTATTTAAACAGGCTATAAGATTAACTTTTTTCAGTTCCTTACATGTTGTAAATTGAAAAAAAAACCTTTCAAATAACATTAATTAATGTTCTTCAGTGAGAAAGATGGGCGGTTTCTAAGTGTGATAAATAAACCTAATTTTAATAATAGTGTTGAAAAAATGATATGACATAAGTAAAGGTGAAATAAAGTTGTTAGGAAGCAACGAGTATAATCTTAACTTTAAAGCATGATTAAACTTGATTTATTATATTTAAAAAGAATTTATGCATGGTTTTATTAGACACTATATTTGCAAATGAAATGCTTTCGTTATCACTTCATTGATTTTGTTAAATTTTATAAGATTGAATTTAAAACAGATTCACACATGGAACACCGATGTGGATTTCACATATTTTTACGTTTTGATCATAAGTAAAGATATTTGAAATTTGAACAATTATCTTCAATTAAGCAGATCTTTCTGCTAAGCGCAAAACCAATTTGAGATAATCAAACCTATTCTAGTGAGAAATGCAGAGCTTTGTTTTACAATTGGCACAAAAATAAGTCAATGATTCTTATAGAATGGCCACATATTGTTTATGTAAAATCCTGTCAAAAGATGATCAGGTTTTCTTAAGTGAACCTTAGCCCTTCAGACATTAATGCAGTGATGTAGCTAAAGATTATCTGTCCAGATAAATAGTCTTCTGTGTATGTCCAGATGGATCTGTATGCAATTGCTGGGCTGTATATACAGAGACTTAAACAAAATTAAAATCCTATCAGCCATTTTTCGACAGTTTGAGATATTTTAATCCAAATATTTTATTCCCTTAGCAAGTGGACTTGGCTGTTTAATCTTTTGAAATTGTTTCTCAGACATACACTAACATACCTTTGGAATTATGTGCTTGATATTTTATGATTATCATTGCAACTCAAAATCTATAACTACAATTTACATAAAAGAATTATTTCTTTTATTATTTCTATTTGTTGGAAAATTAATTCAGCAATAGATACAAAGTTACACAGATTGTGCAGTGAACTCTGTAAAATATTGCTTGGAATGAAAGTTTTAAATACATGTAAGCACAAATTTAGAAAGTTTTGTCAGTGCATATACTTACATGTATTTTGTGTATACACGTATGCACAAATTATAAGTTTACATTTTGTTGATAAAAGGATGTTTGTGTATGCATGTATATATACTATACATGTATAAAGGGTAAAATGGGAAAGAAGACAAGTTATGGATTACATAATTTTCTTTTCTTCAGTCACCAACCAGTTCTATTTTGATGACTAGTTTCAACACTGATAGGTGGAGGAGAAAAACAGCCAAGCTTAATTTGGATTAATTACAGACCTTCATAAAATGAAGTTACATGAGTTTCCTTAAATCCCAAGAACAGAGAATGTCTAGTTAGTTATTTTATCTGTAATTGTACTGAAGTTATTCTTAAATATGGTAATTTGCATTACTGAAAAGAAGTCTCTATAGCAGGATAGTCATGATAAAACTGCCTTCTTCTCATACTTTCCGTTAAAAGGTGCAAGAAGATTTTGTCATGAAATCTTCTGATGTTTGAAATGGCTATTCTCAAGGATTCTGGGACTGATTTAAGTACTCCAGCAAGATTTTCTGTTTCATTTACAAAGGAATTATCTAGGTTTGCTTGCACATGCTCTTATTTTTAATAAACATAGTTAGAAGCATGGATTGTATCCCAGTAACTCCTTTTGACAAATATCTTGATATCTTTGTTTGTGGTCTGCGATGGCTTTCATATTAATCTTTCATAGGTAGATTGATGTTAATAATGATTGTACAATTTCTTTATGCCTGACAAAGAATTGAACATGCAAACAACCAAAGAAAACAAAGTTCCTTCTTTTTTGTAGGAAAAAAAGCATAATGATGGCAAAAATTGAACAGAAAAACACAAAAGAAAACAGTATCCACATTTGGGATGTTCATTTTTCTTGTCAGTTAAAAAGAAGATATAAACGCATAATACCCTTCTTCTGATCCTGATTTTGTTTTTGATTACCTTTCTCCTCCTCTTTTCCCTCCTTATTATTATTAATTCAATTTGTTTTCATCCTTCCTTCCCAGGGGGTGTTGAAGGCAACTGACAACAAAAAACAAACAATTAACACCCAATAAAAAACCCTTCAGACTAGAAAGGCCAAATAAAAGAGGTCTATTTTCTAAAAAACAGAAAAAAAGGCCTGAACATAATTTCCCAAAGATATATATTTCAGACCTGGAAGACCCAGGAGACAAGGTCTTCTCCCATAAACACAATACATGTGTCTTTATCTTATTCTTACATATGCACTTCCACTGAGT